GTACTTCATTCGACCTGGTCCCTCCCCTGAAGTCTTCCATTTTCCAAGTGCAGCTGGAGTGGTTTTATTTCATTTGCATGAATTCTGTATGACCTGCAATATAGTTCAAACCATAAGAATTAAGTGCTGGTGAGATCTCCTAACAGGCAGCAACAGTTTTATTGCAGATGCCGAAGCCTGTGATTGAATGGCCCAGCACTGAGAATGCAGGACAAGGTCAAGTGATCTTACAAGCCCTGCCCTTCCCACCAGTGGATTTTTGGGAGCTATATGCTATAGCTGTGGTCCCTGACGATGCCTGCAGCATGGAGGGAAGGTCAGGACTGGTGCTCCTGATGAAGGTGTGCAGCTTGATGCAAAGGATGAGGAGCCGTCGGATATTTCGGGAGGATTTTCTGAAACCCAAAAGGAGATGTGCACATTGCAGCCTTGGAGAAAGGTCCTCTTTGGTTTTTAATAATAAAGGGTGACATGCAAGCTTTATTAACAAGGCACGTAGGGGAAACAAAAAGGCTCAAGGGATAACCCTGAAAAAGTGGCGCTAAATGTGTCATTTTTATGAAGCTGATTTTGTGAAGGGTCCCTACATGCTTTGGCAGGAGGTTGCAGCAGGTTTACAATAATTTGTAGGAAGATAGAAATGTTTTCACCCTGAAGTGAGAAGAAGGGCAAAAAGCCCCACACTGAGATGCTTTAGAGTCATCTTCCAAGGCAGTGGCTGGCGGAGGGATGGATACCTGTCACTTTGCGTCGGGAGAGATGGGTCCAGCTTCAAACAACCACGGACTGTGCTGGGGGGCTGATGTGTGAACCGAGGAGCCAAACCCTCCATCAAGAGCCAGACACAGCAGGGAAAGCTGGATTTTCACCTCCCTAGAGTTTGGTTTGAAAAAAGCCTAAAACCATTTGAAAGAGCCGAGAAGAGGGAAGAGTGAGAAAGAGCCAGATCCTGGGCACCTGCCCCGAGGCAGGCAGGCTGGCAGGGGCACGGCCGTGCTGGTCTGAGCCTGTGGCACGGCCCAGGACACATCCCCCTGGCTCCAGGGAGCGACCCCAGCCAGCATCCTCTGCTTCTCCAGCAGCCCACAGCGGTGGCCGTGCCCGGAGCTGCCACAGCCCGCTGACATTTCTCCTGGCACTTCCATTAATTCCCCTTAAGCCGCCTTTGGATCCTCTGGGGGTTTATTTCTGTTTCTAAGGCAGAGAGTGAGCAGTCGTTAGAGCAGCACCCTGTTGCTAACAGACCTTTTGCTGATGGGGAAGTCACCCCCCCGTGATGTCCAGGTCAAGAAGAGCTGTACTGATGTTTGTACATCTATTTTTTGTTTTTTTAATTTAATGGAATTGGCAGTCCTGAACTGAAAGCAACCGCTGGGGGAAAAAAAACAAACTGAAAAAGTTTAAAATTTCCCTGCTGATTGCTTGATTCCGAGTGTGTCTTGTTGTTATATTTATATTTGTGTTGCTAAGGCAGCAGTTAAAAGCATTTTTCAAATTAGGCAGTGGTGAGCTGTGTGGTGAGCCAGGGCCCCCTCTTTGATGGCACTGACACCAACGTGCCTGCATCTGGAAAGCAAGTCTGTAGCCTGGAGGACAGCAGGGTTTCTCTCCTCCAAGGGAAATGCAGGCTGAGACCACAGGCTGGATGCTAAGTGTTGTTCAGTGCTTCCCAATGCCTTGAATGTATTGTTTATTCATAGCACAGAGGCTGAGGGGCTGATCCTGACAAGCCTGAGCGTCCCTTCTTCGTGTCATGATGAGCAGGAGATCAGAATTGTTCGGGAGGTCCTTGCCATGCCCAGCTCATGACATGGAAAGGAGAGGATGGGCTCGAGGCTGGGCTCGCCTTTGATTTCTGCAGGAGCAAAGCCCATCAGTGAGAAAGTAACAGTTTGTTTGCTTCTGCCAAAATAATGAAGACGAGGAGGGCTGGCCCCTCAGTGATGCACTTGATGAAGAACACCCTTTCATCGGCGCCAGCCAGCCCTACCTTTTCCCTCTTTTTTTGTGCTTCAACTTTGTTGTTTGGGCCTCATTAAGAGAGGGAGCGGATCCTTTCCCAATTAAAATGTTGACATGCTGGAGATGTTCTCCTTCTCCTCCGTTTTGCCTCTGTTTGTGAGTGATTGCACTTTGCAGGATGAACTAGAATTAAATCAAGTGAGCTTCGATTGAATAATGCAAGCTATAAAGCAGCCCTTCTCCATGAAAAATCTCATTTCTTTTTTATTTTTCTGGTTTGCTCCCCTAGCCTGCATGGAGATAACCTTGACGGATAATCCCACGGCTGAGGAGAGGTCTTGCAAACTGCTGGGCTGCTTCGTGCACCGGTGGGAGTGTGCTGGTGAGGGCAGGGCAGGCAGCTCTCACTGAGGGTGCAACCCCCCAGCCCAGGAAAAGCAGATTTCCCATCCTTGTGGCTGTGCTACTCCTTGTTTTGTCCGAATCTGGAAGTAATTAGCATTAGTCGTGCTGCTTTTGGTGGCGTGGAGGATTTGAGGCCTGGGAACGGATGCTGTGACTGACCTCACGGGAACCCTCTCGTTTGCTTGGAGACTTGGAGGGTTTCATTGGTGGCGTGGTGCAGAACATCCCAAGCAGAGGAGGACACGTGGACCAGGGAGTCCACATGGGAAGGACGTTACTCCAGACCATCAAATATAAATCATGGGGAATTTACTCATTGGTGAATGATTTCAGTTGAGTCAGGATTTGGTCTTCTGCTTTGGTCAGGAATCAACACCAAAGCTCCTGGTGGTGTTGGTCAGAGGGGGATTTTGCAGGAGGTCTGTGTCTGGGCTGCAGCAGGAGGCATGATGGCAGCACATGTGGTGTTTCCACAGCCCGCGGTGGGGTTTTGGTGGCATCAGCCAAGCATTGGCCCTGGGTGTCCCTTGGCATCCCTTGGCCCCTGGAGCCTGGGCTGTGTGGCATCAGTGCCTGTGAGAGTTTTAAAGCTCTGTGATGTAGCTATGCGTGTTGACATTTGTTCTCTGGGTCCTCACACCCACCCCTTCCTCTCCTGGTTTTCCCAGGGCTGAGGTATGCGCAGATAGGGATGGAGCTGATGGGGGCAGTGGTGGGTTCAGGGGGACTCATGCTGCTGCTGGACATGGCAGCAGGGCTCGGGACATGGGGATGGAGCCAGCTGAGGCTCTGGGCTTGCTGGAGCCATTCCCACATCTGCCAGTGCAGGGTGATGGAGAGGACTCCCCACTGAGCGGGGATTGCTCTGAAACCACTCCCATCCCTCCTGCCTTACATCACTCGGCTGCCCTCCGAGCCCGTGTGCGGGGCTGGGGTCTCCTGCAGGGCTGCTGAGGGGCAGCACCACCCCTTCTGGGGCACACAGCAGTGCCAGCCTTGCTGGATAACAGCATCAGGCCTTTTCTGCGGTGTTCAAAGGCACGGGCATCACCTATTTTTTAAAAAATACATCTGTTTGCTCCTCAGCTCTAACCATCAAAGTCGTCCTGCAGAACAGAGGATGCAGGAGCTGCAGGGACCAGTGGTTTGTGCAGTAAATCTCCTGCGTGACTCTCCAGCAGTAATTACTATGTGAAAGTAATAACCGAGCCGTGCTGAGTGTTAGACCAACTCCCCCGGCTCGCAGCTCCTTGCATGTTTCTCTCTGGGAGGTTCCTGTTTGGTAAATTGGATATTGTGCTGTATTTCAGAAAAGGTCACACTTAACCAACGCTGCCTTTGCTTTATTATCTTGGCAGAGCAGTGTAACCTCTGCTGGGGTACGATTGGATTTCGCATCGGGCTCTGCTGCAGCGGCCCCGCTCCCTGCATCCTGCCCTTGTGATTACGTTAGCAGCAGACTCTGCTTCCCTTTATTTATTGAGACATTAAAGATGCATGCATTTATTTTTACCATGTTCATAATTGCCATAAAAACAGGCCATAGCATCCCTGAGTGGCTCTTTGGGCAGGAGAGCGGCCGTGGAGCCGGGGTGAGGAGGAGCCGGGGTGGGGCTGCTGGGTACATGGCTGTCCCCGCTCCTCTCCTGGGGGGATGCTGCTGTCAGCCCAGAGCAAGGAGGACAGAGCAGAGCCTGACCAGCATGCCTGGTGGGGGCAAGGAGTGTCCCCCGGGCGAGGGGTGCTGCTGGTAGGAGCTCAGGTGGGATCCCTGGAGATCTGGGGGGGACTTTGAGTGGATGAATGCATGAATGGGGGTACCTGACTCATCATCCCGCATCCTCCTGGGTCCTTCAAGCTCCGGAAGGATCCTGGTCAGACCATGCAGATGCTACCACGTGCCACTCCATAGCTCCCACCACATCCCACCCCACAGCTCCCACCGTGTCCTGCTGGGTGGTGACACCCTGCTCTCTTCCCTACCTTCTGGATGCTTTTGGTTTGTTTGTTTCAAGTGCAGGGTGAGTTAGTGGCTTTTGCTTGCAAATGGCAAATCCATTAACTCTTCTCCTCTGCTTTCAATCCCCTCCAACTTTTAACCGTGTCACCCATTGTTTGCTTTTTTATTAATAACAGAGCCCACTGTCTCTTGCAAATGAAATGATGTAAAACAAAGAAAAGTTCCCACGTTAAATTCTCTGGCAGGGGATTACCTTGCTGGCATTTACATATCTATGCAATAAATATTTTAACATGTTAATTATACACTAATAAGAAAAATACCTTTTGAACTTTCAGTCAAATTGACACACACAGAACCCAGTCCATCAGGGAATTAAAAGCAATTAGTTTTGTAACAGAGCACGGTCACATTGTTTCTTCTCTGCAAATTGTTCTGTGGTCACCAGCCAGCCTTTTTTTCTTCTTTTTTTTTCTTTTTTTTGTGAAAGCTGGTGGAAAGATAGACAGGGACTGGAGTTTTTCATGCTTGCTGGGGTCTATCCCGTGCGGGGACGCTCCTTCCCTTTCCCAGAGTTTCCTGCTGGATTTGTCCTGGCACTGCAAACCTGGCTGTTCCCAGGCCTGGGCATATCAGACTTGTAACCATCTCCCTTCTCTTTTCCTCCTTTCAGACTGAAAACTACTCCTTCGATTCCAACTACGTGAACAGCAGAGCTCATTTAATAAAAAGGTACGTAGGCTCGCTTGAAAGCACTTGGGTTTGCCCAGCCAAGTCCTGATTATTTAATGTTCTTCCTTCCTGCGCTATATACTCCTTGCTCTTTTTAATATGCAAAACGTTTCAAGAGTAATCATTTGATTTTAAAAACAGTATTTATTTCCTACCAAGTCCCATTGCTCTCGGTCTGCAGTAGAGGCAAGTCTCTTTTTCTTCTCTTGGGCTCCTTCGCCCCGGGAAGTTGCAGTGAGTTAGGTGGAGTGCTGTTACCCTGACAACTTTCAGATTCATAGAGTTTATTCTATTTGAATGCACAGGAACAAAATGATAGATTTGGATGGTGAGATCTCCCTGCCATGGAAAAAAAAATACAGATCTCGTTTGGGGGCAGGCAATTGGGTTGGAGACATGCTCACTGTTTTAGTTTGAATACCGAGGGAAAACAGCACTTTGCTGGGCTTTCTTCTTCCCTGGGTAAGAAGGAAATCATCGGTTCAGTGGCAACCTGGCAATTACCCTTGGGGGAATTTAACCTTTTGGATAAAATACGGAGATCTTAGAGCTTAGCAGTGATGAAGGAATGTCTCAGGGAGGTTAATGCCGGGGTTAGCCGGCTGAACCTCACTGGATGGTGTTAACCTAGAGGTGAGCATCCTGCTGTGGGGTGGGGGCTGGGCTCTCTGCTGCCTCCCCGGCTGTTCGAGGCAGGGAAAGGCACTGACCCAGCACCACCACTACTTGCCAGGCACTGACCCAGCACCACCACTACTTGCCAGGCACTGACCCAGCACGACCAGTACTCGCCAGGCACTGACCCAGCACGACCAATACTTGCCAGGGCCATGGCCGAGGCCCGTGGGGCCGTCTCCCCACCCAGGATGTGGGCGAAGGATGGGATTGGCAGCTCTCCCCCAGCTCCCCTCCTTCCGAGGTGTGTGCTGAGCGAGCTGGGGCTGTGCCCATCCCCGTGCCCATGCCCGTGGCTGGTGGGGTTGTGCCTGGGAGCTCTGCAGAAACCATCGTGGTAGCAGGAGTGCGATGGAGAGGGTAGCAGGAGCCAGCCCTGAACTGTTGAGATCTGATCCGAGCGGTAAAAAAATCCAATTATCTGCCTGGCTGAGATCCCATTTGTTTACATCTTAAAAATCTAAGGAGTCAGGGAGCTGGGAGTGCATTGTGTTAGCAGCTCGGGTTTAGCTAGCGAAGGGCAGGGATATTTGCCTACCTGGCTCATGATGTTTAACGATGCTAATGCGATTGCAAGAGAGCTGGTTTGCCTGTGCCACGCTGCTCCTCGCCAGAGAGCCTGCAGGCAGGCTGAAGAAACCCCAAATCTATTAATCTTTCCTCGTTCACACCTAAGATAAAGGCAAGCGGGGGCTTACTTGGAGGCTGTATTGTTTGGGAAATGCTGCTGCTGCCGATTCCCCCAGACCTGCCCATCCTTTAGAGAAGTGTCAGCCGCGGAAACGTGTCGCGTGGCTGCTGCATTCCGGTCTGCTTCACTGCAGGGAAGATAAATGCCTTGTAACACGGGCTGCCTGTGCTTTAGGAACAGCAGCTCCGTGTAGGACAGCGTTTCCCTTTGCTTTCTACCTTTGTCTTGTATCTTGAGTACAACGGGTGCTGGGAACCCTGTGCAGACATCTAAGAGCAAAAAATATTTTCTGTAACGTACTCTGGCGTTATTTTCATCCTTTGCCTTTATGAAGATGTTGTAGCTCTTCTATCTTTGGTGAGTGAATCTCCTCAAATCCAGCACTTTAATTAATCTATTTGTACTTTTCCTGTGTTGTCTGCCTGCCTCTCTCGCTCCTCCACTCACACACAAATGAATTGTAGATTTGTAGTGCTTTCTTAACTTAAAATTCTTTGATGTCGCCTGGAATCAAAGTCAGTGGCTTCAGCAGGGACATCTTTATTTAAAAGGTAATGTTTGAAGGTTTACCAATTTATATGTATTTCAGAGCTCCCCCCTCGTGTGCTTTTGCAAAGCATCAGATGGTAGGTGGTCTGCTTGGTTTCCGTGGAGACGCAAAAGGGCTTTTCAAAGTAATGAAAATCTCCAGCTCTTTGGTGCTTTGAAGCCCAGGCCGTGTCTTCCACCAAAGTTTCACACCAAACCAGGCAGAGAAAGTTTGGGGCCATGGGTGCAGGTGAATCCCCCTGGATGGGTGCAGATATCCCATACCGAGGCTGGGTGTGGGAGGAGGTGCAGGCTGGGTGGCCCCAGGGATGTCCCAATGGCTGTGCCACGCAGGGCAGGCACATCTTGAGATGTTCCTGTGGCTTCCTGCAGCTGGTGTCCTAGGGCATCACCTCTTGCAGGGCAGCATGGAGCAGCAGAAGGAACCCCAGTGCAGCCAGAAATTAAATCCTTCCATCTCTCCAGCCTAGGAGATGGATGCCGTGGGGTGATCGAGTCGCTCAGCCCTTGGGGAGAAATTTGGGAGCAACTCATCCCTCAGGTCCCTCAGCAGTAGCTGCACTTGCAAGAGGAGTCAAGGAGTTTGACTCTGTATCAGATCTCCTTAGAGCTGTGTGAACTTGGACCCAAATCACCAGATTATTTTTAAAAATAAGAACGACACCGTCATTGTGAAAAGAAATTCCCGTTTCTAGGAAGACGTTTGTTTTCAGACTTCAAGTGATTAGGATGTGGCCTATAACCTAAAAAATTAAGGTTTATATCCTGTGTATCCTTCAGTATGAGGTAACATGACTCGAGGGAGCCTAGTTTTAATTCATATTCAGTTCATTTAGTGTATAGTTTTAAAATTTTGTGTTCAAATCCAGCTTCCCTGATAGCCACAGAGTCACACTGTGCCTGTGGGCAGAAGCACCCTGTGGGGGGGTGCAGGCTGGGTGCTGTGTTTCAGGGGGGCGGAGATGCCAAGGAGAGGATGCTCCTCCTGCACCCTTTGCCCCAGCTCTCCGTGCAGGTCCCAGCCCTGCCGCTGGGTGCCGGGGACAGCACCGCTGGGTGCCGGGGACAGCGGGGGACATGAGGCTGAGGGGTGACAGCCGTGCCACCACCGCAGGTCTTGGGGCAGCACCGTGGGGCAGGGGCCACCTCGTGCCACCCGGTCAGTCACGGCTGTGTCTTCCCCAGCAGCTCCACGTTCAAGGACTTGGAGGGGAACAGTCTGAAGGACAGCGGCCACGAGGAGAGCGACCAGACGGACAGTGAGCACGACGTGCAGCGGGGCCTCTACTGCGACACGGCCGTCAACGACGTGCTGAACACCAGCGTCC